TGTCCCTGCCTGTCCCTGCCTGTCCCTGCCTTCAGGTTACCGCCCTGGAGCTGGTGAAGTGCTGCCAGCAAAGCCAGTGGGAGGGAGAGACCTCTGCCCCGTGAGCAGGCCGCAGCATGGCAGCCCCGTTCGTGGGCACCGTCATCCATGTGGGGCGTCGGGGCTGGTTGCTCTGGCAGCTGGAGCGTATTTCAGATTCTGGGTGGTGGTAATGCCATGGCGAAGCTCACCCCTAAATACGGAAGCGAACTGGTTGCTGCCTCCCTACCTGCCCAGCTTTCTGACAGCTATCCCGTCGTATGTGACACCCGTCAAAGCAGCTGTCCCAAGCAATTTGTTTTCGCTTTTTTTTTTGGTGAAGCAAGTCATGGATGTAATTATCTGAGGACCTTCTGTACCTTTCATTTGCTTTTCAGAGTTAGCAACCTGTTTCTTTCCTGCGGAGAGGGCGTGTTGGTTAGATAAAGCCATGTGTTTTGTGGGACTTTAAACTTCCAAGTGTGACATTCTTCCAGTCAGACGTAACTCGGTGTACACACTCCCTTAAAAACATAATCTGTTTGTGCGGGTATGTGTGGCAACATGAAGGGATTTTTGTCTTAGTTGTGTTTAAATAAAATGTGATGCTTTTGAACTAATGTCAAAGTGTACAAGGGAGTGATTATTTTATCTGCTTTGCTTTCTACGAATGTTCATAGTCATGTCCGAGAGAGACAGTGGTGAAAATCTGGAAGAAGATACCTGTTACAAAGATGAAAATGAACAGAAAGCAGAGGAACTCAGCTGCGCTGAGAGCAGTGAAGAAAGAGAGCAAGAGCTTGAGCCTGTGCCTATGACTCGGAAAAGACCTGAACCCAAACCCCCCAGCCAGCCTGCTGCCACAGAAAAGCCCGCAGCTGAAACCCTCAAGGTATGTTCCTGTGCTTGCTCTGAATAACGTGACTTCACATTTCATGGCTTTATGCACAGAAGAATTTTGGCTGTAAGCCTCACGGCTTTTTTGAAAATTCACATTGCTCTTTATCTGCAAAGAAAAAGCTGCCCCAAAGTTAGACATCACAGACTGCTTGTGTTCTTCTCCTCACCTTCTTTCCTGCTGTTCTTCATTAAAGGTCTCAGATTCTCCTGCTGCAGTTCAGACAGGATGGGGGTACTGGGGAAGCTGGGGGAAATCTCTTCTGTCAACTGCGTCTGCTACCGTAGCTACTGTAGGTAAGGCTCTTTCTGGTATTTGATAAATATTTTAACTGTACCTCAGTTCTCAAGCTAGTGCTCTTGAGCTTGTTTCTAGAGAAGGGGATTTCTGTTACAGAAGCAATTATTGGAAAAATGTCAAGAGAATTGTTCAAGTAAAGGGGAAAATTTGTACCAAAAGTTACAGTAAGATTAGAGGGATACACACAGCCAAAATTACTTTCAAGTTTTTAAGATGTTTGCATCATTTTCAGCTGGTGTTTTAAACTGGTATTCAGCTGGTACTTGATTTAAAAGCTGAGATGAAACCTGCGTACATTACATTGGTAAGCAATGGATAGTAGTAGCTTTTAGTGCTGGTTAAACTGTCTTGAACAGGAGGAATCCATAATAATAATAAAAATATGCAGCCCTAATCCTGTTTCTGTTCTGATTTCTCTCGTATGTCATGGTTAAAGTACTACTGCTGTCTTCTCTAGGTCAAGGTATTTCAAATGTCATAGAAAAAGCAGAAACAACCCTTGGGATCCCCAGTCCTAGTGAAATGTCTTCAGGGACTAGAGAGACTACAAGAGGTCAGTTTTTACTGCATGAAAACAACACTGAAACATTTCTCATAATCAGCCCCAAAATAGCATCACCTTACTCTGCATCTTGCACATTTTCTGTGTGCTAAAATAACACTCTGTTGCTTACTTCTGTTAGCTCTGAAAAGTATGTAGGGAAATAATCCCAATTCTAGCCCTGCTCCTGGCTGATGCTCGGTGTTTGTTAGTTTTCTCAACTCTGCAGCTGACAGGATCTTTTTTTGGGAGTGAGGAAGTTAATTTCCTGTCTTCTAATGCAGGAAGTGAGAATCCTGGTGCTAGCAGCACAGATGCAGTTGATGATGGCAGTTCCTTTCCTATTGCTGGGGCTCTTGGAGTTTTATCAACCATCTCTACAGCTGTCCAAAGCACAGTGAGTGAGTTGGGAATGCAGGAGAAAGTGGGTTTAAGAGAGCATTGGGTTTTCTGCCTTTTGTCTGAAACATTCTAAGAGGAAACTTTTCATTTTGACTTTTGTGGGATGAATGGTGAGAAACTGTTTCAACCTTCAGTCTTTATCCTGCACCTTGCTTCTAACTGGCGCTTGAGTAAGTTGTCTTGAATTGTGATAATTCCGTATTAAATGTTGGTACGTAACAAAAAAACCTAATGGTGGACCGTGTGGTGCATGCATTCCCCTGCACGTCACTTCTGTACTCTGTTATCTCTGCTCCCTTCCTTTAGAGTATTCAGGTAAATGCAGGGTCAGACTCATTCCTGGAATATTTCCACTGATTTCCACAGAACTGTCTAGAGATTAAATCCATTCTCCTCTTCAAAAACTTCTGTGAAACTAGCCCAAATTGCTTAGAAATCAGCTTGTTCCTGTGACCATGAGAAATGCACTTCAGAGGAACCCATTACCCTTAGAAACTGCTTTTGTGATCTGCTGTCTTGTCAATTTGCCCATGAATCTGAACGAGCCGCAGATGGAAAGCTTGCTTCTGCTTTTAAGGCTTGGACAAGACTTAGCAACCAAACCCCACAGGTCCAGTGTTTTCTGATTGGAAGGATGAGAACTAAATACTTTAATACTTTAATGTGCTGAGAACTAATCTGTTCACAAAATGTATTTCCTATCAGATTGCTGTAGCTGCCTGGGTGCTGTATTAAACTGTTGGATGATAATGTATCATTGATCTTTCCCTGTCCTTCCACTCTGTGGCGATTAGGGTTGAATTTTAGGGTGACAAGGACCGATTTGGCTTGTATGTGAGTGTCTGGTGTAACATTGCTGATATAAATCCTCCAATTCAATTTCTTCAGTTGTATAGTCTTCTGTGAGTTTTATGTGCTGTCTGTATCCAAATCTGATT